GGGGTTTGACTCAGTATATGATTTTTAAAAAGATTAATTTCTCGTCTGTCAGGAAAGGAAAGCTGTGCTTGTAAGGCACAGTCTCCCTAAACAAAACCAGGACTGATCGTATAGGTTTTGGGAAGCCAGCATTCAGGGACTGGCGGCTTCAGAAGCGGGAGCGTCCAGCGACTGGCGGACTTGCAGCTCGGTTAGCGCGGTCACTGTTGGAAGGCAACTGGGGACCCGCCACCTTTCAGACGCCTGGTCCCTGGAGTGAGGCACTTGCCGATTGGCTGGTGTCTAGAAGCAGGGAGCTGTCAGTGATTTACTAACTTTCAGAAGCTTAGCTACCGTCGGAGCTTAGCCGCTGTTGACTGGCTGATTTTCAAAAGCGCAGCCATTGTAGTGAGGCTGTCGCTGATTGGCTGATTTTCAGTGTCTGTGTTCTGACGTGACGTTATCTCTAAACGTCTCTAAATATCATCTTGTTCACGACTTTGAACTTGAGCCAAAAGTCTTTTCCTTCCTTGAATATGAAAAATAAGTACTTTTCATTTCTAGTCCCTTCTTTTGTCCTTCAGTTAAACATTGCTGGAGACACTATCGGATTGTCCAGATCTTTTACTTATGGAGGTAGGATTTCCAGCTAGTATTCCATTTCAGTGATTTCAGTGCCAGTTACCTTGGTGGAAAAATAGCTCTAATATTTTTGTAATTGATTGCAAAAAGATTAATACAGGGCATTTAAGGTATCCTGGCAAAGTTAATACATGACGCAGGACAAAATCGTTCAATACGTCCTGCATATACAGGACTCCTGGCAATACTGTCAACGAGGCATTTCCCCCATTTTACACACGAGAAGACCGAGACTCGGTGAGATTAGGCTTCTTGATTATGGCCCTGCAGTCGGAAACGGGGCAAGCCAAGATCTGAACAGAAAAAGGTCGGGATCCTCTGGGCTCTTATGAGCCTCTAACGCCCATGCCCAGCGCAGACTGGGCGCGCACTGCTAACCTGAGGTCGGGTAGGGGTTCGAAGGGAGGGTGTGCAATTGATTAGCAGCGGGTTTGAAAACAGTAGCGAAGTACAGGCTGGGAGACCGCGGGGAGCGAGCAGGGCACTAAGGAGGTGCTCAGGTCCGGGGACCTGGCTGCCACCGAGGAAGGCTGCGCCGGAGGCCAAAGCCGGCTTAACGGGGCGGGGCGGG